AGCAAAATCAACAAACGCTGATGAGCCAATCATCTGATAATGGGAGCAGAGAAAATCTAGATCTGGACCAAAACCAACTCAATCATTTGCATGGCAATTTTAGGTACAGAAAAAGTCTACAAGATGATTTGCATTGCAGAGTTACGAAGAAATGAATTCATATTTTGCCTTGGCCACTCATAATTATTCTTTAAAGCTAACAAAGAACAGGCAAGATATAGGACAATTATAGGAAGGAGAGCAAATATGGAATCAATCTTGGTGCAAGAGCCCAGAAATTACTGTCTAATAATGAAACAATTTGAAGAGAGAAAAATCTGTTAACATTTAGAGGAACAGTGAAATCATAAGCAGTAAGAAGAAAGATTTGTGAATATCAAACCCTGCCAAGTCCAAAGCCCTCCTCTCCACCACACTAGGATTTCAAAATTATTAGATGAAATAAATGTCGTAGAAAGCCACCTCACTTTTGGTAAGGCAATAGATAATGAGTATAGGTAAGAATTATAGCAATCTTTAAATACAGAAGCATCTAGTCTAACTGTTCAGTGTAATAGATGAAGAGAGACCCAGAGGGGCTAAGAGGTTCATTCTAGTTCAGCTTGGTTTCCAGCTGTCCCTGCCCAGAGCCCTTCCTACTGACCTGCACTCTGGTGCTGTTCACACACGAAGTAATGAGCCTACACTGAAAATTTGGATAATACAGGACAAAATAAAATTCAGATGTTCAGTAGATGTGAAACCTCTCAAAAATTGTAATGTGAAAAAGAAAGAGGGATATTAAGTCTTAACACCTGAGGCCATCAGTGGAGATAGGACCATGACATATGTTTATGCAGTTGGTCACAACATAAAACCCAGAGTGCTCATTCATTCTTTCCTCCCATTCAGCCAGGAGAGTAGCTACCAGCAGTTTTCTAGGGAGATTATGCATGCCCTTTACTGAGGACATTTATTCTTCTAAAATTATTTAGGTGAAATAAAGCCCAAGAATATGAAAACCAGAGCACCCCCCACCCCCCGCCAGTCCTAAGACCCTGAGAAAGATGTTTTACTGACACTAATCATTTATATTTTTTTAACCATGTATTATGGAACTAGCAAGTATATACCAAAGTAGCAGAATAGCATAATAAACCTCTGTGTACTCATCACTCAGCTTCAATATAATCAACTCATTTCAATCTTGTTTTAGGAATACTTCCACTCCCCTCCTCCCTCCCTTATTATTTTGAAGCCAGTCCCAGATGATATCATATGATTTCATCTGTTAATAATTTTGTATGTATTTCTAAAAGACAGGTACTTTGAAAAATGATCACAATGCAATTATCACACCTAAGAAAGTTAGCAATAATTATATAATATCAAGAAACACCCAGACATTATTCAAATTTCCATGAATTTATAAAATATCTCTTTTGACAGATTGTTTAAATTGGTATCCAAATATGATCTTTTTATCTCTTCTCTCTTTTAATTTACAGTTCCACCCTCCCCCCCAACCTCACAACTTATTTGTTGAAGGCACCAGGTGGTTTGCCCTGAGCTTCCCACAGACTGTGCTTTACTGAATGGATCTCGGTGTGTCCTCTGTATTCCGCGGTACTTAGATCTAGAGCTGAGCTGCCCAGTATGGTAGCCACTAATCACATGTAGCTACTTAACTTTAAATTAAACTAAATGTAGAGTCAATTTCTCAATCACTTGCCATATGTCAGGTGCCCAGTAGCCACATGTGGCTAGTGGCTGCTGTATGGGACAGTATAGATATAGACCAGTTCCACCACTGCAGAATTTCTATAGGACAACGCTACTCTAGAGACTTAATAAAGTCCCATAAGGTAGCTTTGGAGGGAAGAAATGTTGAAATCTCATCTACCCAGTCTTTGACTCACAGTTAATCTGCACTGGGGTCACTTTAAACCTTCACGTCTGGATATTGAAAATGAAATAAAAATTCAAGGGATCTGTGTGTTTCTAAATTTACATAAATGGTATGCTTACAAATACTTTTGTTATTTGCATTTTTATTCGTTTTTTTTTTTAGATTTACCCATGTTGATGTATTTATATGTATTTTATTCCTTTTAACAGACGTGAATACAATATTCCATTGTTTGAATGTATCGCAGTACATTATCTTTATAATTAATATTTGTATTGTTTTAAAACTTCTGTAACATACACTGAGCTTCAAGGAATGTCCTTGGCCTCCTGTTACATATGAGCAAAAGAGGTGACCTGGCCTTGGGATCTCTGGGGCACTGGGCACGCCCATCTTCAACTCTAGTAGTTATTGCCCAATCACTCTCCAAAATGATTGTGTCAATTTGCTCTCCTGCCAACACTCTGCAAGTGTTCCTACTTCCTTACAGAATTATACATATTAGGTAGTTTCAGACTTTGAATTTTTACCAATATGGGTTCACATATATGCAGTAAAAGTACAAATTCAAGCAGGGAAAGGAAAGGAAATGGAATTGATGATGGAGCCCTGACTTAGCTGACTCTAAAATGTTTTCTTGCTTAAAAAAAAATAAAGCATATATGGCAAAAAGTTAATGTTTATTAAATGTGAACAGTGGATACAAAAGAGTTGGTTATGATATTTTTATTATTGTTTGGTAGGTTTACAGTAATCAGAATAAATTTTTATTTCATAATCACTTTTCAATGCAAGGGCCTAATAAAAAATTATGCAGCATATAACAAATTATTGAATATGGAATTATCTACTAGGTTCCTTTTTGTTTGTTTGGCATTTCATGCTAAAAAATAAAAGTACTGAGAAGAAATATCCATTGGTTGTATTTGCCCCAAATGATCTCCAGCTCAGCTCACGGAGTTTTCCAGTCAAGCTTTACTCAGTCAAACATTGCCAACTAATTGCCCCAAATGATTTACTTTGTACCTGCATGCTGTATTATGTGTCACATAGCATTTTCTTCTCTTTGGATGATATAAACTAAAAAGAAGGTAAACTGCAAGTGGAACTTTTATTTGGAATAATGCCAAAAGTTTTGTGGGGTATTTCTGACTAGTTTTCATTTCCTCATGAACTCTGTGGACAAGGTAAATGGCTTAGCTCTGACATGGAGACCTGCTCTTAGTGTCACTATATTTGCAATGGTCGATTTAAAAATCCAAACTAAAACTCCTTTAGAGAAGAATATGATTATAAGGCAGCAACAATCAGTGTGATTCATCAGTGGAGAAACAGTTTTCAAATCCCTTCCATGTACAAGGCACCATGCTATGCCCTGTGAGGGACATAAAGACCAACAAAAGTCAGTCTCTGCATCTGAAAACTTAAAATCAAGCAAGCTTTTCCTTTTACAACACTAAGTACAAAAATTTTATTTTTGTAGCCAGAAGCTCACTCTGGCTTTGTTCTATTTTGATCTATATAACTTATTTTAAAGATTGCTCAGTAGTTATTCACTGCACAGTAAGTCTCACAATGACCTTTGGCCAAAAGCAGTACCATTTTGGCCTGTCCTGTGGAACTCAGAGCTTCCCACTCCATGAAACTCGTGACATAAATAACTTCAAATAAAACCTTCTGGGAGATCTGTGTCGGGCACAACATGAGAGAGAAATGGGGAAAAGCAGGGAAAGAACCAAGCAGGAGTGCCCAAGAGTAAGTGACAGCAGTGTCTTTGTTTTCAGCATTTTTTCCTCATCTCCCTTAAGATATTTACTCTTCTTGTCCACTAGTAGTTGAAAAAATATGGGATGACACAACAAACCACGATGCTAAAATGAAACACATTTGTTTTTAGGCCTGCAACGTTTTGTAGGGTTGACGACAACTACATGGGCTTCTTTGGGGATGAGCATTTAGTGTAAATCACAGCAGCAAACACTAAGGACACACTTCTTAAGCTTATAAGTAGCCAGAGGGAGGAGCCAGTGTGAAGATGGGTTATCAGGACGTGTGTGAGTGCCTGTGTATATGTGTGTATACACATGTATGTACACGTTTGCCTCTAGTGAACAATACAAGGAGAAAGAACGATCTAAAGGAGGAAAGGTCTGCTACGTCTTGAAGCCATTCACACTTTATGGTGTCTGAACTTCAAAATGAAGCAGTTCTGAAGGCTATTTAGTGCCGGCAGTACAGGACTTCCTGCGACTAGAAGTTTGGCTCATAAAATAGAGATGCATCTGGCCACCAGGACATGAAAAGAGCTCCTTGCAAACAACAGCCCGGTAGCCCGGGTGTAAATGATTCAGAAACACCTGGCTGGTATTTCCCTTGGGGTTTCCAGAAGATGAGCTAGTTAAGTAAGACTTGGTCAATTGGACATCATCAGACAAGCTGACAAGTCCAGACCATTGGGGAAAAAATTAGAGAGATGGGATCATCCCAAATAGAGTGTTCCTGAAAAGTATCCTCCCTCTGTCATTGGAGGAGGGTTAGAAATATAATAGGTTCGGTTAGATATTCTAGTTCAGGTCAAGGCACCTCTTTTTCGAGGCTGACGGTACAAATGAATGATCCAGATTGCTTGATCCAGAGGGCTGCTTGTCGTTTTTTCCATTCAGCATCTTTTACAAAAAGATGAAGTATAGCCTAATGCTAAATTAAATTAGATCAAATGTCAAAGGGCTGAATAAAAAATAAAAGCTATGATAGGAGAAAGTAATGGGAGAATTTATATTGTGATTCTGACATTGATTTCCATGGTAGATCTTCCTACAGGGTGTGAGCCTGTTTCCAAACTTAAAAATGGGAACACGTGTATTTCATGGGATTGTTGTAGAGACTGAAATAATGAAATGCTTTGTACACATAATATTCAACCCATGTTTATTTTTATTATTTTTAATTTTAATAAAGGAAAAAGAAGAAATAGTGGGTACTGCGTCATAGTTATAGCATTAATTTTCCATAATCTTCATAGCCAAATATAATGCCAGCTGTCACTGAAAGGACTAGGTTTAAGGCAGTCTGGCATCCTGTAATCAATTTCTTCTCTCTTCCCTTCCCGCAGCCAGCTCCTCGCTGAAGAAGCGATTCAAGCGGCGGGAGATCGAAGCCATCCAGTGCGAGGTGCGGAAGATGTGCAACTACACCAAGATTCTGTCCACCAAGAAGAACCTGGACCACGTGAACAAGATCCTGAAGGCCAAACGGCTGCAGAGACAATCAAAGACAGGCAACAACTTCGTCAAGAAGAGAAGAGGGCGTCCCCGGAAGCAGCCCACGCAGTTCGATGAGGACTGCAGAGACCAAATGCCGGTGCTGGAAAAATGCATCGACCTTCCCAGCAAAAGGGGTCAGAAGCCGAGCCTGAGCCCGCTCGTCTTGGAGCCGGCGTGTCACATAAAGGAAGGCTCTGCTCCGCTTGGGAGGCATCATGGCCGCTAAGTCAGACGGGAGGCTGAAAATGAAGAAGAGCAGCGACGTGGCGTTCACCCCGCTGCAGAACTCGGACCACTCGGGCTCGGTGCAGGGACTGGCTCCGGGCTTGCCGTCGGGGTCGGGAGCCGAGGACGAGGAGGCGGCAGGCGGCGGCTGCTGCCCGGACGGCGGCGGCGGCTGCTCGCGCTGCCGCTGCTGCTGCCGCTGCTCCTGCTGCTGCGCGGGGAGCGGCGGCTCCGGGGGCTCGAGCGGCCCGGGCGGCGGCGGCGGGGCGGGCTCGGCGGCGCTGTGCCTGCGCCTGGGCACGGAGCAGCGGCGCTACTCGCTGTGGGACTGCCTCTGGATCCTGGTCGCCGTGGCCGTGTACTTCGCGGACGTGGGCACGGACATCTGGCTCGCCGTGGACTACTACTTGCGCGGCCAGCGCTGGTGGTTCGGGCTCACGCTCTTCTTCGTGGTGCTCGGCTCGCTCTCCGTGCAAGTGTTCAGCTTCCGCTGGTTTGCGCACGACTTCAGCACCGAGCCCAGCGCCGCCGCCGCCGCCGCCGCCGCCACCCCCGCCGCCCCCTCTGCCCAAGACCCCCAGAGGAGGCGGGAAGAGGAAACACAAACCTCAACCTGCGGCCCAGCCCACGCAGCAGCCGCCCCCGCAGCAGCCCCTTCCCCAGGAAGAGGAGGTGAAGGCCAAAAGGCAGAGGAAGTCGCGAGGGAGTGAGAGCGATGTCCTTCCCTAGGGTGGGCCTGGGCGTCAGAACCTGGGGCTGGGGAGACTGACGCATTGGAAGTGCAGTGAGCCGGGGCTGGGTCCGAATGCCCTTCTCTCCCGAAGCTGGGCAGGCAGACTCGGGCCAGATGACGGGGTTGAGCCTTCAGGAGCTCTTGGGAAAGCAAAGCAGGGGAACGTCTTCAAAAGAAGTGTGTCTGTGCTTTACAGCAGTTCCCAGCCAAGGGGCACTTCAGTATGGCTAGATCCTTGACAGGCAGCACAAGGCCCATCAAGGAGGAAAAAGACGGTGGTGCTCTCCGACAGCCGCCAGACCTCCCGCATCCAAGGTGCACCCTTGATTTCGTTGCATTTGCTGGCCAGGAAAATTGAAAGGGGAACACCCTCAATTAGGAAACATTCCAAGGGGAGAAAAGCCGCAAATTTCTCAGCTGGCTTTGTTGTAAGCCACTTCCATTTAATTGGTTTTTATTTCTTTTGGTTTTTCAAGCTCAGCTAGGCTTTGGGGCACCAACATCATCTTCAGGTGACCTGAATCTTTAACAATACAGTTTCTCAGATGGACTCGTCATCAGAGGGTGGCATTGTAGTGATAGGCAACCTTAGACATGCATTCATATTCTTCTGTGTGTCTCCTCTATCACACATACACTGAGTTTTAGAATCATCTGTTCCTACTTTTTCTTTGCCCATTGTACTCCCATATACCTTTTCATTAACTTACTTGCTGCCTTCTTTAACTTGGTACACACCTAGATAATGCAAACCTTACCTGTGTTGTAATGTTCACCCTTGGCATGCAGTCCCAAGGAACTTGGCTTTGGATTTCAGTCATTGTGAAACAAATACTTAGTATCAATAGAGCCTTTTAAAAATAAGTGATTTAGAGCATCCGAAGATACATTGACCCAGGTGTCAACCAGGTTATTTTTATACTTAAAACATATCAGCAAAGAATAGGCAGAATAAAATGGTTTTAATGCACCATAGAAAATGGGATAGCTGACAAATCACCAAAAATTGAAACCCCAGACCCACCAGAAAGACAAGTGTCTAGCAATGCCTTGGTATGTGGATTTTTTTTTTATACAAATAACTATCAAAGGTTATTGAAAAAAGGGAACAAAAAGACAATAGAAGTACATTGTCTCTTCATAAAAACAAATGGGAGTAAGTGTTCTTATCTGGGGAAAAAAAAAAGGAAAGAAAATGCTCAAAGGGTGTCACCACTCCAATAGTATCACACCACCTTGGACAAAGTATCCAAGTTGTGGTTGCCTTAATAAACTGAAACATTTTGTACATAATGTAATTATAAATCTATCAGTCTGCATGGGTGCAAACTGTGTGTGACAAATCGTCTTTTAAATGGTCAGTTTCGACTGTACATTTCTCATCCAAGTTGTACTCTAGCCATTGGTTTAGTGTGGACAGATATTCCATCTCTATTATCCACCTCCACAGCCCAAGTAAAACATGTTAAGAAACTCAGAATGAATATGAAGTTATTCCATTGCCATAGATGTTTTCTAAAAGTCAGATGTGGAAATTTCAAAGTATTTTCAATTTCCTCCCTCACTCCTCCCCTTACCTTTCCTAAGACATCAAATACCTGGTATGATAGATTATAAAAAGAGACACTGAGAGACAGAATTAAATTTTCTAATGGGAATTAGAATATCTGGTTTACCTCCAAATTAAGTTTCTTTACAGGAAATTGCAAACGGCAGGAAATCATATTATTACTTCAGAACACAACATTATTTCCTTAGCGAAGGAAGGATTTTTGTTGGGAACATAGGAGAATACGGGATGGGTTATCTATGGGAGTAAACTTTAAAATCCCAGGTTAATATGCTTGCAAACATCAGTGCTCTGTCATGGCACCACCAGTTGGTTGAAATTACCCACAGAGTCATCCTGTTCTGCACTGTCACCACAGACTTCACATCATGTGCTGCCACTAGGTCAGTTGCATTTAATCCCAGCAATATGTAAGTTTAAAGGAGTGCATTCTCCTGTTCTTCAAAGCTTATATCATAGATACTCAGTTTGTGACCTAGGTTGACCTTTGGCATTTCATACAGGTTGAACAGCAAAATCAAACCAACCACTTTCAATTTGTCATTCCCAAGCCATGTCTGAGTGGTTCCAAAGTCACTCAAGAGGAAGGTTTAAATTAGCCCCGCTCACCCCACCATTGCTATGAAAGAGCAACCATTTTCATTTCAATTAGGCCATAAAGTGGTTTCTCCTTTGTTGGATTTTGAAAATAATTGTTTTCATTCTTTTTTTTTCCCCTCTTCCTTCCAGTGTTGTCCTCTTTCCCCAACCAAATCTGTGAGCAGACTAAGTCTTCCTGCAGAGGGGAATAAGCTGGCACTCTCTAAGCTTCTTAAGGAAGGACCTAAAGCTTAATTGGCCTTAACCTCTAGTAGGTGAGAAATTTCAAATTAGGATACATTAGAATTTTCAAACCAACGAAAGGTGTTCCCGGAGAGAGACAGCAGACTTGCACCTTATACGTAAATTCAGTTCTGCCGTTGTCATGTGAGTCAAATGCAAATTCTCTACATTTATGATCCTAAGGATAGATTGAGAAACTGCAGAGGAGCAAAACTGAGACAGGCTAACCTGCTGTTTGGAGGTGGAAGCAAGTCCAGTCACCTGCAGGGCTTCCCCTCTTTCCCATCAAGCTCCTCCCTCAGTATCACATTACTTTTATTTTTTCTTTTGCTTTCCATTAACCTAACCCATCTTATTAGTATGACCATTTCCTCATTTTCTAACTACCCACTCTGCATTAGCCTCTCCTCTCCTGTCCAGACTCAACATTGGGTCAGTCTCGTTTCACATCTGGTTGGTTGCAGAACAAGAATGAGAGCCCAGCTCTCCTGATCCACAGTGTGGAGGTCTCTAGCCACCCAACACTGCCTTCTGTGACTGCATATGTATTTAGAGAAAATGTCATTTGGGATGCATGAGGCTCCATAAACAGATCCAAAAGTATTTCATAATAAGGGAAATTCCTTCATTTTCTTTTCTGTTTCCTGGAATACTTGCCTTCAGCAAGCAGGCATGAACCCACTTATAGGGAATCTGATTAGAAGTGAGCAAAGAATGAAATCTGTATAAAAACCACCTTGAAGGTGATGATGGGTCTCTGATCCACCTTCCTAAGTGGCTGGGGAGCCACTTGCTTTTCAGCCCCTCATCTCAAACGAGAGGAATAGAGTTTAACTTCTTCTAACAGCACTGTTCCGGCTACAGCCCGAGGAAGACTGGGCGAAGGAAAGGAGGGCGTGTCTGGGCTGGCTGGTGACCTGGCAGGCCTGGGACTCAACAGCCACTGACAGCCCCGACTAGGTGACTGAGGGCCGACAGGGTTAGCCTGTTAACTTGGCTGCTGTCCGGAGTGGGAGGCCACGGCCGACGGCAGTCGGAGTTTGTGTTCTGGGCATTGCTGGGTCTATAAATATGATAAGCAAGTGGTGACAGAATTATAGTATTAGGTGATGTACTACATGGAGATCATAAAGGATTTGGTTTTAGGACTTAAGTAGAAAATCTCACTCCTACAGCTTATTACCCGACAATATTCAGATAATGAGCTTTTGGAGAATATTTTTTCCCTACCACTAGGAAGATTTACCTGGGAACTGTCTGAAGTCTATACATATATTTCCAAAGCCTTTAAATGCCAACTGTAGCATGGAGAGGGGGGGTGGGTGGCCGAATCCGAAATGCCTCAAAAGCCATTTAAGTGTTACATTGCAGGATTTTCAGTCCTTCACATTATGTAAAAGTAGATAAATATAGACATTATTCTCAACACTACCCTATAGTATCACAATAGTCCAAATGCCAGAGCTTACAAATAATGTCATCACAGTGCCTAGAAACTCGAACTGTAATATACCGTAGCATTTTCTTGGAGTTTTTTAAAGTTTCTTTCCACAATACCAGGCTCCCCCTGCCTCTTGTTTCTTGGAGAGTTTGCCCTACTGATGAGTCTGCTTCCCTTCTTGGACTCAGTCACTTGGGGAACAGTCTTAGAAGCACATATCAACCAAGGAAGAAACTTCCTGGATATCTCTTGCCCACTTGCCCAGGTATAATAAACACTAAAGGGGGGAAAATTGAAAAGAGCTGCCACTGGTCAACACAGAAGGGCAGTTCCAGCTTAGGTTGGTGTCTTTCTTTTTCTTCCTTTTTTTAAAAAAATCTATTTCTTAAATAATAAATGCACATGATGTGTTAAATATGTATATATATATTTCAAAAGAAAAAAATGGGGCACAAGATTGTCTTACAAGTCGTGCTGGCTAATTTTTAGTTTGTATTCATAAGTGGTTTTTAAAAGCCTTTTTTAAAGTGTAATTTGCATGTTCTACTTTGATTGTATGTACACATATTTTAGAACAAAAAATGTATTTGTATTTTATTGAATATAGAGGCAAGAAAAATTGTACATTGTTTGAAATGTTCTTTTTGTAACAGTTTTTATTCATAAAGCATTTTTGTACATTTAAAATGAACATGGACTTGCTGTTATTTGAGGCGTAGATACATCTGGCATGCTTTACTGTCATGCTCCTCCATGGTCTTAGATGTTGGGTTTTAAACATTTTTTCTAAAAGAAAGCTCAGTCTTTTTCGCTACCAGATCAGGTTAGCACAGTATAGAGCACTTAACTATTAAAAAAAAAGTTAATCCTATTCATATGTTATTCATTGTGTGAAATTAAAGACATTCAATTCAGTCTAACATGAGTTGTGAATTCTTTTGTTTTATTTTCCATCTGGTTCACATCACTAAGGAGTTTAACAGCATTTGGGGGTCTTTGCTCACACCAACTGGATATAGAATCATTGAGAAAATTCTTACCAAATTTCTGCCCTTTGTATGATTCTGGGAAGTACATTGTGATCAAGATTTGAGTCTGATTTACAGGGTTACTGTTTACAGGGTTACTGATTTACAGGGTTACCTGGACATAAAGCCAAGACT